CCCCATCTCGAAAAAGGAATCGCGGTGCTTACCGGGGTGTAGTTCGTCGCAGGTCGACCCGGCAGTGCTTGGAATTCTTGGCACTTGGGACATCGCTTTGTATACTCGGCCCAGTCCCTCAGCATTTTGGGCCAAAAATACCCTTGTAACATGATGCGGCATGCGATGGTGTATGCCCCTTGGTGCGCGGAGCATACCCCCTCGTGGACTTCTTTTATCACCAACTTCGCTTCATCTGGATATAGACACCTCAGTAACGTGCCGTTGTAGGAGCGTTTGTACAGTTTATCGCCCGAGACAACGTAACTGGGTGCCCGTAACTTCGTTACCTTTGCGTCTGCCTTGTCTTGCGGTAGGGTGCCATCTGCCTTGTATCGTTTGATATGATCAATCCAACATGGCTCCCTAGTCTGCACAGGGAAGACCCACGAAACGTCGATGCTTGAAGTCTCGAGGTCTTCTAGTCGAGCGATCTTCCTAATGCGGCTGGGGACTCCGGTACTTAGCTTTGAGAGCATGTCGGCGTCGGCGTTCTGCTCTCTCCGTACTTGGTGTATCTCATATCCCTCAAACTCGCGCAAGGTTCTCAACACCGCGTCTCTGTATTTCTGCATGCTTCCTTCGTTGGCTTCATACTTCCCAGACACCTGGCTGACTACCAGCTTGGAATCGCATCGAATTCGGACCTTCTCAGCTCGCAGTCCCGCCGCCAATCGCAGTCCATTGAGGAGGGCCTCATACTCTGCCTCATTGTTAGATAATTTGAGGTGGAATCGGATGACATAGTAGGCGCGGAATCCCTCCGGAGTGACGAGCACTACGCCACCATCGCAACCTTTGCTGTTCGAAGAGCCGTCTGTGGACAAGGTCCACCACCCTCCATCTTCAGTTTCTACCTGGTCCGTCACTTCTCAAGCTTTGTATTCCACTATAAAGTCTGCAAGAGCTTGGCCTTTGATGGCGGGCCTTGGTTTGAAATCTATGTCAAACTGACTGAGGTGCATGGCCCACTGTGCCATCCTGGCGGAGCTGTTAGTATTCCGTAGGAAGCTCCCCAATGGCTGATGTGAGAGTACGTGGATGGGGTGAGTTTAGAAGTAGTGGGCCAACCTTTTTGATGAAGTGACTATGGCAAATTCTGTTTTCTCCAACACACTGTACCGGAGCTCCGCGTCGTGTAGGGCTTTGCTTACGTAGTAGATGGGACGCTGAGTCCCTCCTTCTTCTTTGACCAGCACGGAGCTGATCGCACCCTGTGATACGCCCAAGTACAAGATTAGGGTTTCACCTGCCTCTGGTTTTGCAAGCAGGGGCGGGGACAAGTATTTTTTCAACTCTTCGAAGGCCTTTTGACAGTCTGGTGTCCACTCGAACCCTTTGCTCTTTTTCAAGATTTGGAAAAAGGGGAGGGAACGTTCAGCCGATTTAGATAGAAAATGGCCTAAGGCCGCCAGACGCCCGTTGAGTCTCTAGACTTCCTTTATGGACCGCGGAGGCTCCATGTCAAGGATAGTCCTTACCTTTTCCGGATTCGGCTCAATGGCGTTCCTAGTGACCATGAAGCCCAAAAATTTGCCCCCATCAACGGCGAAGGTGCATTTTTTTTGGGTTCAAGCGCAAATTAAATTTCTTCATAATGGAAAATACCTCGCTGAGATCCTCGGCATGGGAGGTGGCCTTGTGCCTTTTGACGATCATGTCGTCCACGTATGCTTCCATGTTTCGTCCCAGTACTGTCTTGAACAGCTTTGCCACCATGCGAGTGTATGTGGCCCCGGCATTCTTCAATCCGAATGGCATGACCAAGTAGCATAATATCCCCTCGGGAGTGGTGAAAGCGGTCTTCTCGGCATCCTCCTCATGCATGGATATCTGATGGTACCCATGGAAGGCGTCCATGAAGCTCATGAGTTCACACCCTGCCGTCTCACCCACCAATTGATCTATATTGGGTAGTGGAAAACGGTCCATAGGGCATGCCCTATTGAGGTCCGTGTAGTCCACGCACATCCTCCACATTGATCCTTTGGGAGCCAAGACTACGTTGCTTAGCCACTGTGGGTAGTAAATCTCCTTGATGTGCCCTACGTTGAGTAATGCGGTCACCTCCTTTCTCACGAACTCTCTTCGTTCTGCCGACATATACCTGTTTCGCTGGTGCACTGGTTTTCCGCTGGGGTCGACTGCGAGCTTGTGGGTTATGATCCTTCGATCTATGCCCGGCATGTCCTTTGGCCCCCATGCGAACACCGTGTGAGAACGGCGGATTACATCCACTATCTGGGCCCTTAGCTCTAGGCTTAAGCCTGTGCCGATCTTCACCACTCGGTCTGGTCTGGAGGGATCCAGAACTATATCTTCCGTCTCAGACACGGGCTCGGCGCGGGGCCAGGCATCTTCTTCTTTGAAAATTTTCTCCGCGATCGTGTGGACCTGTAGGTCCTTACTGCAAATCTTCTTGCATGCCTTCACGTAGCAACTGCGGGCTGCCCGTCGGTCACCTCTGACGACTCCTATTCCGTTCGGAGTGGGAAACTTCATACACAAGTGTTCCACCGATACTATGGCCTTGAGGTCCTCCAGTGCTGGCCTCCCGAGTATGATGTTGTGCGCACTGGTGAGTCTTACCACGATGAACTCCATGTCCAGCTTGCGAATGTTGAGACTCGTGCCTATTTCCACGGGCAGGGTCACCGACCCTTCTGTTTCCACCGAATCCCTAGTAAACCCAGAGAGTGGAGTTCGTACCTCTTTGAGCTGGCCTCTAGGTAGCCCTAACTTGGTGAAAGCGTCGTAGTACATCACGTTAACCGAGATTCCCGTGTCGACCAAGATGAGATGTACGATCGTATCATTGATATCCATCTTGATCACAAGTGCGTCACGATGGGGTAAAGGGCCCTCGGGGAGGTCCTCGTCAGAGAAAGTGATGGCCTCCCGCCTCTTCTTCTTTCCTTTGGGAAGACTTACCACTTCTCCCACGTACAGCTGTCTACTCCACTTTTTCCTCTCTGTGGGTATGTCGCCCCCCGCAGGTCCACCATAGATAAAGTGTATGATGTGTTTCTTTTGTCGTCTGGGCGCCACCTCGGTTTCCTTCTCGCTATCATCCTGCTCAGATATCTGGTCATGTTCTCTTTTCTTGGCGTTCGAGGTGGACGGCTCGGCGCCATCCTCCTTCATCCAGACATTTTTTGGTGGAATTTTTGATGGATCGCGCTGCGGCTGTTGCTGCTGCTTGGATCGCTTGACGAAATGCCGGAAGTAGCCCTGCTGGATGAGTTCTTCTATTTGTCTCTTCAGTACGTTACATTCATCCGTGTCGTGCCTGGGTTGCCTATGGAACCTGCAGTACTTTGCTTGGCCTCCTTTTGGGGAAACCTTCATGCACTCTGGTGGGAACTCGACTATTCCCATCTCCTCAGCCTGTTTTAGGATGACGCTTACGGGATGGGTAAGAGGAGTTAGGTTACGCAGGGGAACCAGGCCAGGCCGTTCATGGTGCCGGCCTTTCCCTGCGGCCGGGTGGTTCGAACGTGGTGCCTGGCTGGACGGACCAGCTTTCTCAGGTTTCCCGTTTTTCCTGTTGTCCTCCTCATCTTTCTTTTTCCTGTCGACGTCCTCTGCCTCGGCATAGCGGCTAGCCGTCCTCATCAAATCTTCGTAAGAACGGGGGTGGTGGGCGTTCAGTTGCTTGTGAAAATACCCCGACCTCAAGGCGTGGATGAATATCGGGATCGCCGCCTTGGAGTCGAAGTCGTAGACATTATTGACTTCCTTTTTCCACTTGATCAGGAAGTCTTTGAGGCTCTCGCCTCTATCTTGCTTTACTACACAGAGGTGAGAGAACGGTTTCTTACGCTGTATGCTACCAGAGGAGTATGTCAGGAAGCTTTTGGACAACTCTCCAAAGTTTTGGATCGACCCGTCCGGGATGGTGTTGAACCATTCTTGGGCCGTTGCACATGTATAATCTTTAACCAATGCATTTGCACATGTATCATGCTAGTTCTCAAAAATGATTTTATAAGTGGTTTAAAAAACAATAATAATGAATAATTATTATTGTACGTGGATTTTTTAAAGAGAATGTAAAGGAAGGGTTGGGATGTAGGATTAATAAATGACATGCAATAAATAGCGTCGAAAGAGATGGGGCAGATACACATATACTGCGCTTCTAATCAAATCAAATGTGCATAGCCTTTTTGGTGGGTATCATTAATATATGCACAACACTATACTATATATAAGTATCTTTTTTTTTTGTTTTTTTTTTTGTTTTGTTTTTTTGTTTACAAACGAGAAGGTGACGTTCCTCCAATGGAAGAGATTGAATATAAAGGAAAAGATGATATTTTTTTCATATATATATATATATATATATATATATATATATATATATATATATATATATATATATATGTATGTATGTTTATAATGTTGTTTTCTTATTAAAGTATTCATGTATTTATATTTACCTTTCAATTATTTTAAAAGTTTCAATTTTGTCATTTTCATGTTAAATAGACTTTTAAATGATTAAAAATAAGGACAAAATAAATATTTCAAGTCATTTTTTTTTTAATTAAAGAAGATTTTTATTATTTATTGCCGTAAAATGATGTGAAATTAAAGAAGATTTTTATTATTTATTGCCGTAAAATGATGTGATGAAAGACCAGGAGCTCAACTCATGCTAGCTAGAAAACAGATAGATTGAAGGAAGACTAGCGGTTATAACATAAAGCTAGTAAACAGATAGAAGAACTGGAGATGGATTAAAACTTTTGTCAAAGTGTTACAACAACTGGAAGACTAGCGGTTATAACATAAAGCCTAGAGGAAAATACAATATAATAATGCCCTTGGCATTATCTGGACTGGGATCACTTCATCTTAATAAGTAACACAATACAATCTATTCATTGGCTTTTATCATTTCTCTACAATTTAATGTACCACATATACTGGCACTTCTGTTGGGTCTATTTTGTTTA